ACAAATTTAAATTTCTAAAAGTTAAATTTAAAATAAATTGACGGAAAATGACACTCTTCCTTGGATAAAAGCAGCAAAAAGAATATCATTTTTCATCGATTCATTCAGACGTGAAACAAAATTTATTCGAATCATAAATTTGTACAAGACATCTAAATAAGAATAGAGCAAACACTTATATCATTTGACTATTTTAGTTGAACGGTTTGTATACATATCTTCTATTCTTATGTTCTCCTGTTCGAATCCACCTCTTAACTTTATCGAAACTAATGTAAGTTAACTCTATAATTCTATGAATTAATGTAAACCAGTAGATAGATCGCACCTGTAAGTTGAGTTCTACGAAGTACTTGACGGGTTTTGTTTTTTTCTATTTTTCAAAGTATGCAATACCACAGATTCAGAAACACTGCGAAATGATTTTAAGAAAAAATCGTTTCGCAACGTTTATTTTAGCAAATGTGAAACGCGTTTTCAGAACGCGTTTTTTTCGCAAAAATTTACGCCATGGGTAAACGATGACTTATTATCATAAAAAAAATATTCAATCTAGTTTAATTATAGAACGAAATCGTTAATCTTAATCGAAATCAAACGACTTTTTATTGAAATTTTTAAAAACTTTGATAGAAATATCAACTTTTAAATATATTGATGAGATATCCCTCAAACTTCTAGAAATGAGAAAACGCTTTTCAAAACAGTCTATGAATTTAAATTGATTTATTACTTATCAATAGATAGTCTCTTCATCTGAGTATATGATAAAACTGGGGTAACAGCTGCTTTAATAAAGGCCCTTTACAATGCATACTCGAACTATGGGGTATATTATCTAGATAAAATAAAATTATTCATAAAACAACATGAATACATACAAGCAACATTTTATTCGCATGACTACTTATAATCGATGGGGTTTTCAACAATTCTATAATAAATTAGATAAACATATTTCTAATGAGAATTATCATGCCGATATTTTTCTTCTAGACATTCTTCCTTCAAAATCTCTCCACGATCATATGAGACACAAACACCTGACATCGGCCTACTTCATGCCAAGTCTTATCTCTACCACGATGACCAACAGCATTATGACATTCATTAATTGTTTGAAAGAAGATTTTCATAGATGACAATAGGTAACTTTTCCTTTTCGCAGCAGATTATTTGTTGATCATCAAACGTAACAACAGTAAAGCGTCTTTTTGTCCAAAAATTAAATGATGGATCGTATTTCTTTTCATTTGTTAGCACGTTCGATACTTTGTCGTAGGTTTCAGCTGTTATTAAATACTTCGATAGTCGCTTCACGCTTAATGTACTTAGATAAGCATCGAACTTCGTGTAGAGGATTTCTTTCGTTTTTATTAAATGAAACAATGGTATTAAAGTTATCAAGAAAATCTTTGTCGAATTTACTTCGATCGTTTTACGCCAGTTACAACTATTTATTATCGATTATTGCATAACAACTTCTAATATCTACATTTTATTGCCACCTACTTGACAATAGAATTCTAAATTGAATTAGTTGCCTTTTAAAGATAACTGAATTTTAATGTCAACTCCGACCAGAGATGAGCACAGGACAGGACGGTCCTGGTGTCCTTGTGTCCTGTCCTGTCCTGTCCTGCAGGACAGGACGCGATTTTGATTTTTGTCCTGTCCTGCCGCCCGCCAGGACAGAGATTGTCAACAGGACAAAACAGGACAGGACGTGATTTTGATTTTTGTCCTGTCCTGCCGCCCGCCAGGACAAAGATAGAGATAATAACAGGACGGAACAGGACAGAAAAATTTCTCGTGTGAACTTTCTCGTTTTATTGTTATTGATATTTTTTTTTAAACGACCGTCATTTTCGACGTGTCACTTTTTAACACTCGACGTGTGCTGTGAGTGATAAATATCGCTATGAGAATGAGTCATAACACTAATTCAAATATTCGTTGAAAAAAAAGGCTACCAATCAGACGTAACCATTAATGACTCAGAAATTTTCAGTGACAATACAAAGAGAAAGCAGCACGAAACCAGTGTTCTTTGTTTTTTTCGCCATGAATGTGTTGTATTTTACTTTGTATTTTATGTTTCGATTTATTGACTCTCAAAATAAATATTCAGCATGAGCAGTAGTAAAATTTCATTATCGTCGAACACATTAAATTTCTCAAAATTTGACAATTATCTAAATATGAAACTCATAAATATAATGTTTTGTAAAAAAAAAAAAAGAAACATCATTGATAGGTTTGTCGGGAGTCTTTCGTTATGCAGAAAGATTAGCTGAACATAGTATAGTTCAAAGAATGCCAAGATATACTAGTTGTTTCAATTATTATAGTACATTTATTCATGAAAATAGTTGTCTTTTGTGATAACAGCGTAAGCTGTTGTTACTTTTCATAGATAGTATCTAGTATAAAATAAGATAATGATATTACAATGAATTATGCTTATTTTTTCTGTATTTTTTTTCTTGCCATGAATGTGCTATCAAAATATAAAATAAAGATTTTGTTATATTTTTTTGTATTTATAAAATAAGTGATGATCTGGAGTGTATTTCTTGTATTTGAGGATAATAAACGATAAATTAGGTCTAACGTGAATAATAGTAATATTTGATTTGATCAACGATAGGGATGTGCCCAAAGAAAAAAATTGAGAGATCCTAAGTATAGATTTTTGTACTCCCCTCAGGACAAATTTCTTACATTGAGATTTTAAAATAAACGCTCTAGTACAGTTTTACTGTAGCAATCCACTACTTTTCAAAAATGGGACGATCTGGACCCCCTATCCCCTTGTTCGCACGCCCCTGATGAACGATAGTCAGATTAACGACTCTCATCACCGACTCACTGCCGTTCGATAAAAGAGGAATGAATTAGCAAAACAAACTAGGACAAAGTTGTCATGTATTATCCTATCACCCGTCGGGACATAAAAAGTCAGCAGGACAAAGCAGGACAGGACAAAAACAGGACAGGACGCAATTTTGATTTTTGTCCTGTCCTGCCGCCCGCCAGGACAGAGATTGTCAACAGGACAAAACAGGACAGGACGCAGTTTTGATTTTGGTCCTGTCCTGCCGCCCGCCAGGACAGCACCAGCTAGCAGGACAGGGCAGGACAGGACGAAAAATCTTGTCCTGTGCTCATCTCTGACTCCGACATCTATATTATTTCATATTAAAAGGAATTTCTTAACCCGACTCAATCCAAGCAGATAGACTTGATTTCTATAAATTTCTTTTTGTATTTAAAACAGTTCAGTGTGCTTATTTTTCAAAGGACTAATTTGAATTTCCATGAAATTTTTCTCATAGTCATTTCATTTGAATTTCCTGAAAATAGGAGCTTACCATCTCATGAGTCACAGGACCCAGTTCGTAAAAAGAGAACCAGTTATCAAACCCAGTTCATGGCACAAGAGCTGATCAAGGGATCCAGTTCGTGACAAAGAACTAGTTCTTGGAACTGGGAACTATCACAAGTCTATTTCACAGTTGCCATTTTAATAAATCATACATTTTTCTTTTCGAACGATTTTCATTCAAAATTCTTTTATTTTAATTCAATTCGAAACAAAATTTTTTTATTCATCGGTTAAAAATATTTTCCAGATTAAGTAAGATATGAAGGACTTTAAATTTATTAGAACGACTTTTTCCTTGATGCAATCGTTGAGTTAAATATATTTCTTATGGAAAAAAAAACGACAAACATATCGACATCTAATTCTCTTTTCTTTATTCTGGTGATTTATCTCGAAGACCAGATTTTTGTTGCCGATCACTATAATAAAAGGAAAAATAGAAACTGGTGTCAAAATGAAAATTAGACTCACTGAAGACTAAATGTAGGTAATCTATTTGTTATATTTAATGGTTTAAAACTTTCTTGTGCTTCAAAAAAATTGTCCTGTGGATCATAACCCAATAATTCACACGTTGAATTAATGTCCATTCGATTAAATGTGTTACGTGAAAGGCCATGTACAATTGCGAATTTTACAGTAAGTGGTGCATCAATACATCTTTCGAATAAGTGAACAGCATCGGGTTGTGATAACCAACTATTCATAAGTGTAGCACTTCTTGATTCATCTTTTAAAACTGAATAAGGCTGATAGGAACCTATACGTATTGCAATTGTTGAAAGTCCTTCTTGCTCACCCATATAGCATCCAAGTGCTTCGCCAAAACATTTACTTACACCTAATAAACCAAATGACAAAATATGAAAATCTACTATCAGAAAATTTCACACCATAAAGATCTCCTGGATTGACTGGATCAGTTGGTCTAACTTGTATATCTTGAAAATAACCTGATATAGCATGAATAGAACTTGCATAAATGACTCTTTTTACGCCCGATTTTTTCGCTGCTAAAAATATATTGTATGTCCTATAATGGACTTTTTTTTAAGAATAATACAATATTATTATGCAGATGCATACCCTATTATATTATCTTTTAGTAATGAATCCCATCTTGCATTAGGGTCTGGTTGTCCAGCTAAATGAAAAACTGTATCAACACCTTCACATGCTTTTAGTAAAGTTTCCACTTTCTCCAATTCAGCTTCGATAACTTCACCATGTGATTTTAGTGGTTCGATTTCTTCTGGCGGATTCAAAGGATGTACCTGAACAAAACAAACTCAAATATAGATATAAAAATGTGCCATACAAACCATTAATCGAAGTTTATATTTCTGTTTATTAGCATTTTTAGTAAAATAACTACCAATTCTACCAGCTGCACCAGTAACAAGAATAAATCGCGGAGTATTTGTTGTCGTCGTCATATTGAAGTGTAAAAAGATGAAAAGTGTTAATTTATCTTTAAGGTGTCGGCAAAGCAAAATTCAAGTGAAAATTTTTTTTCGCGTTTTTTTACATCATTTGATAGAGTGTGATCTGCTGATCACGAAAATCTACTTTTTAACCCCAGCAAATGCTTCCTTTCGGTCGAAAAATATGAAACACTCGAAATGTGTCGTTTTTCGAGAGAAACACATATTTTTCAAAGTGTGAAAAATTCTCCACTTTGTTTCTTTTTTTGGCTTCTAAAAATAATTTTTCCAGATTCACCATCAAACATTGAGTATAAAAATGTTGTTAAAACAACTCCAGATCCAAAACTCTACTGGTGGTGGCGCTTCGAATCGCGTTGAGTCCACTTGGTATAGGTCGATTTTGTAAACCTATCTAGTTTCTCCACGTAAGTGATGAAGCCAAATATTTTATCTCATTCGACTCGTCATACCTCTAACCAAAAACTAATGCATCGCTTTTTTTTTCTTTTCTTTCTTGTGTTGATAAAACTCGTTTTTACTGATACCATATCGATTTTAGGCGGTATTGAACGGTTTTCGATTTTAAATAAGACTTTTACTCACAAGCTAAGTACAAATTCAGAATCAGCACAAGAAACTGAGTTAAATCAAGTATCTTTCAAGTTAATTTGATAACGTTCATTTTTTGACCCGTATACAATAATTTCAGTTCTACGACGACACCCGGAAAAATGCGAAAAAATGAACGTTATCAAATTAACTTGAAAGATACGTCATTTAACTCAGTTTTTTGTGCTGATTCTGTATTTGTACTTAGCTTGTGAGTAAAAGTCTTATTTAAAATCGAAAACCGTTCAATACCGCCTAAAATCGATATGGTATCAGTAAAAACGAGTTTTATCAACACAGGAAAGAAAAGAAAAAAAAAGCGATGCATTAGTTTTTGGTTAGAAGTATGACGAGTCGAATGAGATAAAATATTTGGCTTCATCACTTACATGGAGAAACTAGATAGGCTTATAGAATCGACCTATACCAAGTGGACTCGACGCGATTCGAACCGCCACCACCAATAGAGTTTTGGATCTGGAATCGTTTTAACAATATTTTTATACTCAATTTTTGATAGTGAATCTGGAAAAATTATTTTCAGAAGCTAAAAAAAGAAACAAAGTGGAGAATTTTGCACATTTTGAAAAATATGTGTTTTTCTCGAAAAACGACACCTTTCGAATGTGTCATATTTTTCGATCGGAAGGAAGCATTTGCTGTGGCTAAATAGTAGATTTTCGTGATCAGCAGACCACGCTCTATCAACTGATGTAAAAAAAGCGCGAAAAGCAAATTTTTCACTTGAAGTTTGAATTGCCTGTACCTTACTTTACAGAGATAATGACTTCGTTGTTTATATTTACTTTAGAAATACAAGGATTATATTTCTATTTATTCTTTATTATTATATTTTTTGTTCTAAGCTTTAGTATACTTCATATAAAGTGATTAACGATAGTAAAAATTTCACAAAACTACAGATTGGTAGAACTCTGTTGCTACCCATAAAGTTCAAATTCTATGGAATCTATCATTATATATGTTATGGAAGCTCAACTCCAGATTATTTATAAAATATAAAATTAAAAAGCAAAAAAAAAGGAAGTTTAATTTTAAAGAAGAGGGTGAAGGTGTGGGTGTGAGTTTAAATAATAATTTATCGAAGGAGAAAGTTAGAATAAGAATTGTCATGAAGCAGTATTGTCTATTTTCATTTCACTTGTTCACGAATAATATTCACATAAATAAATTGAATATATTCAACAGTCGATATGCTTTACTCAGTGCGAAAGACTGAATAAAAAGGATCATAAGACCAGAACAGAAATCGAACCCACATTGTCCGATAACTGGTCGGCTGCTCTACCAGTTATGCTACCTAATCTATCACCTCAGTTATTAATATAACTACATGTCAAATATCCTCTTTAAGTATACAAATATGTTCAGGACAGTAGTGATCTAACGGACTTTATCGAACTTTTGCTGGACGAGAAATTTAAATCCCAAAATGATCTGTCATAATCTTCTGAATTAGAAAAGCAGAACTTCTATTCACAAAATAAAATATTTCAAGACAATGAAGTTACTACGTCTTTCTATCAATCATTCAAATCAAAAATAAGATTTGAAATGATACCAGGGTCTTCTTTAAACGATAAGTTTAAATAATAATTGAGGGTGAGGGTGGGTGTGAGTAACAAAGCATTTCGTGATCACGATTTCGTCGTTGCTTAAGGAACTCATCAGAGGGTTTAAGTGAAAGTAGTTTCTATTCAAATGATCAAGAAGCTTATAAATAAGATATCTACAATCAAGTAATCTATTCAACTTGAGGGTGAGCGGAGCAACCATTATCGCGATTTCATCCTGTCTAGAGGAATCACGAGATGGCTTTGACTATAAGTTTAGAACTATTGGAATGATTAAGAATTGGAAAGAGATGTCAAATACCTAATTTATAGACTATAAAACCTAGTAGAAAATATTTTCATTGTAATCGGATTTTTGTTCAACAAAATAAAAATGATAATCAATTTTGAAGATTTTTTTTGTCTTATCACACAGAAAATCTTCAACATCGATTATAATTTTTGTTTTTTTGACCAAAAATTCAATAATAATGAAAATATTTTCCACTAGATTTTATAGAGCCTTATTGATGTCGATCTTACCTAGATAAGAACAGTGATTTGCCGATTTGTTTCGTATGAAAAAAAATTTAAGTAAGTCTCTATCACTGGTAAAAATTTCAGCTCGTTCGGTCAACATTTGACAGAGATATTCAAAATTCTTATCGTACTGCTATTTATGGACCGGTATGTATATATAGATGATGAAAACTTTTTTAAAATGTCTTTCATCCAGAATTGATAAAATCTGCCGCATTTAATGCCATTATATTATTCTATACAGCTCTCTTGGTTGCTTCGTGGCACCCTTACTTTTAAGTACGTACTAGAATGACAAGACTATGTCAAAGTTACAGCTTATGAAACTGATAAAGACATCGTATATTTGCACACTATCTTTTACAAGATGTTAGAGCCATGTTTGTTGGCAAACAACACACAAAAGGGTATTTATTTGTCTTCATTCTCTTCTTAGTATTACAGTTGCGTTGCACTCTTCTCCTTTTGCTAAATACATCAAGAACCTTTCTTTTTTCATCGCTTGACGGTGGTCTTGATCGAAACGACATAATGGAAACAACAGACATACATAGTAAATCATCGACTTTTACTTTCGAAAGTAAAAAAAAACAAATTATTAAATAAGCGTCCATCACATTTTTGATTCTTATTCAACAGATGTTCGAAAATTCTCAAAAAAAACAGACGAATACTTTGATATTGATCATCTTGTTTCACGTGAGCCATACAGTCAATTTAAAAAGTGGCTCGACGACGTCGAAAATCAACAAATCGATGAAGCTCGTATCTTTACTTTGGCCACTACCACCAAGTGTGTTTTATGCACTCTATTAGAAAGACATGTTTCGAAACTGTTATTGTTCTTTTTTCTTGAAGAAGTGGCATTCCTTCGTGTCGTCCACTACGATTGGCGAGCATTATTGATGGAGAGGGTTTTACATTTTTTACCAACTACGATAGTCGCAAAGGCAAAGAACTCGTGAGTTATAATAACTTCTGCTGCTAGACGATTTATTTTCTAAAACTGCTTAATCATTTTTTTTAGAATCCTTCTAATAAATAGTTTATTTCATTTAAGGAAGAAAATCCATATGCAGCAATGTCTTTTTGGTGGCCATCTACTGCTAGAGCGGTACAGATACTCTTTTCTTTCTACACAGTATTCATGTATTCATTTTCGTTTTTCTTTGAGTCAGATCCGTATCGAAGGTCAAGTTACAAAACTCTCGAGTGCCAAATCAGACGACTATTTCTATTCACTTCCACGTGAAATGCAAGTAGGTACTGTTGTCAATGTACAATGCAAACGCATCATTCAAAACCGACAAGTAAGAACAACAACAACAACAATGAGTAAGAAATTTATGTATCGTCCTTTTTATTTTTCTTTCACGAAAGCAACTACTTGATCTTAAAAATAAATACAGTGGTCAGTCCCAACTCCAAAGACCAGATAGATGGTAGAAGATTTTATTTGTAATAGTATAATTCACTTAACTACTATTGATATATGTAGGGGTGGCTATCTTCTTGTTCCACATACATTGGAATTCTTCCAACGTCAACATGATTGGGTATCAGACCGAATTCGATTTCGTCGCCTGCTTAAGAATGACAATGTTTCTAGTCTTGTTATTGATGGGAGTACCACTCACCAAGGTGATGATGACTGGGTGTTCGAACGATTGGCGCCTTGATTTGTTAACTATGTGGACGATGATAGTAGAGTCTTTCTTTGATTTAATAAATAAAGCCAAATTTCTTTTTGCTGGAAAAGTTCTTTTATATATGAAAATATTATGCTTTTTCCTTGTGATAGTTGATCCGAATTTTAAACTTGAAAAATCCAAACAAAATGATTTCCTACACCAGCATCACCTACTGATACTCATCATGATATCAAACGGACGGATATCGCAAAGGAAAAGATTTTCATAATCTTTGATTTTCGTAAAAGAGAGTCCACATTGTTGACACTAAATGAGGGTGTGGATGTGGGTATGCGGGAGTGAGCATTAATTTTCTCTTCATGCATATCCACACCCACACCGACACCCCACTATTTCAAATATACATCACACATTTATTTTTCAAAATACAGTATCAATCACAAAAGAAGAATTATGATCAGAATGGACATTTTATTGTTCCTATTCATCGATCCATAGTCGAATATTTGATGTTTCTTCTCTATCTCGACTAATAGAATATGTCGATGATAAATATTTGATTTGACATGGATTTAATTAAATCAAAAATATCTCTTCGATTTTCTATACCAATAAAAAGAATTTTACATTGATGAGCAAGGGAGGATTTTTTGAAAGCATTACATTATGTTTTAAAGAAGAAATGAGAATACATCCTATTCCGCGATGTTGAACATTGTGGCATCGATTCCGCCCCCGGAATTAATTCCACCGATTCCGGAACCGGATCAACCCCACTTACAATCAATTCCGGAATTTCTCGCATCAATTCCGGAATTAATCGGACTGATTCCGGAATTACCCCGCTAGATTCCGGAATTGCTCACTGGCATTCCTTCTAGCCCTCGCCCTCAACATTGGCTATTGTGCTTAGAACAAGCGAGCGATTCCGCTGAGGAATTTCCGGAATTGAATTGATACGGAATCAGTAGGAATTCCACGGAATTCCGCGGAAATCAGGAATTGGAAGAAGCGACTCCGGATCCGAAATTGCAAGCAACGATTCCGGATCCGGAATCCCTAACCAGCATTCCTTCTTGCCCTCACCCACACATTGGCTATTGTCCTTAGAATAAGCGAGCGATTCCGCAGAGGAATTCCCGGAATTGAATTGGCACGGAATCAGTAGGAATTCCACGGAATTCCGCGGAAATCAGGAATTG